GGACAATTTTTTTTAAAATGTCCAGATTCTCCACAATTATGACAAAAAAGAGTTTTTTGGTTTTGCTGAATTTGTTGCATTTGCTGTGTTTGTAGTGCTTGCTGGGTTTGCTGAGTATGTTGAAGAGATTGATTTCTTGGACAATTTTTTTTAAAATGTCCAGATCCTTTACAATTATAGCAAACAGAAGTTTGCTGGATTTGTTGAGTTTGTTGCATTTGCTGGGTTTGCTGTGTATGTTTAAGAGACTGATTTCTTGAACAATTTTTTTTGAAATGTCCAGGTTCTTTACAATTATAACCAAAGGGAGTTTGCTGGGTTTGTTGAGGTTCCTTTCTGGTATCTGGTGCAGGGGATTTAGTGCGCTTATTTTTTGGTGAATAAGAAGGTTCTTGTAAATTATTTTGTACAGATAATTGATGAAAGTTTTTATTTTCTTCAAAAGATTTGCTGTGCTTTTGTTTTAGTAAAGGCGGTTTCTGTAAATATTGAGGTGCAATCGGAGAGTAGTTTTGTGTTGGTAGATTATTAAGTTGCTGATAAGTTTGAGTATTCGAAGTAATGATTGTTTGCATAGAAATATAGGATTCTGCATGTTGTTCAAGTGGTTTGTTCATTCCCGTCGGTTTATTATTAGACACTTTTGCTATAAACTTCCTAACTAGCCTATGAGTATTTCTCGACCTTTACGAAGTGTTTTGAGATATATTAAGATAAGAAGAAACTATTAGATATTTAATTTCATTTAAGCTATGGAATTTATATATGAGTGAAAGTCTAAATATAGATTATTTAATAATCGATATTTGGATTTTCAGATAATCTAATTAGTTTTAATTAGAATTTTTATAATTCTAAAACAAAATAAATCTTAATGCAAGTTCACCACGAACTCCGAAGAACCATAAATTTACGTGATATCATATAGATAACAATAATATTATGTAATTGTTAAATTTAATGTAAGTGTAAGGTCATTTAACAATTTACATAAATTTATGTTTCTTTTTGTGAAAGTCCGTAGGATGTATAAAATAAGATTATGTAAAGTCATATAAATTTATATAGTTTCTTACCTAATAATTTTATAAAAAAGTTCGCGATGTTATACTTTAAATATTTTTTGTTTTTATACAACTCTTGTATTTTATTAGACCAATAGTCATTATTAAATTCTATTTTCAGTCGGTCACACGTCGTTTTCTTCTACGAAAAAATTTTTAATATATAATGTCGATATAGTAAATTTGTTTGTAAAGTATTGTACAGTATAAATCGGTTACCGGAATTTATATCAAACTGTTTTTTTAGGACATAAAACATCATGAACTTTTTTCTATAAAATTATTAGGTAAGAAACTATATGAATCTACATAATTATTAGGTAAGAAACTATATGAATCTACATATCTACATAATTTCTTATGAATATTTTATGCATTCTACGAACCTTCAGTAAAAACAAGTATAAAAATTTTGCATATAAATTATTAAATAACTTTATAATATTATTATCATCTATGTGATGTCACGTAAATATATGGACCTTCAAAGTTCGTGATAGCGTTTTATTATAATAAGTTGCGAATTACTGTTAAATGTTCGGGACTAAAAGTTTACTTACCGGTATTAAAGGAGTCGGTTAACGTTAAAGCGGAATTAATTCAATATATGATCTACATACTGCATAATTTGCATTCTTGATTTCTTTATATAAAAACCCACTTAATTCATCAAAAAGGTAACCCTAAACCTTACTTCGCTTTAACCGGCTTTTTATTAAGACAATTAGCTAAAAATAGAAACATATGAAACAGATAACAAATATTACGTAATTCTTGAAGAAAGTCTTTGACATCTTATATTAACAAGATTACACACAAAATCTAGAACCATGGAACATTCACCGCTACGCTCCAAACAATAATTTAAGTCATTTAGTAATTAAGATGAAATTAACCATTCGGAGACATTTATTTGTTTACTTATTTCTAATTAAATCTTCTACTTTGTCTCACGTAACAATATTTGTGAAAAAAGTTTATAATTAACTTAGTAACACGTAAGAAGACTTATTTCAAATTACGTTGTTTCACAGTACAATATTTGAAATTTCTTTATGAAAAAATTTTATACTGCTTTTAAATAAAAAAAATATAATAACTTTTTATTTAGCGCTATGAAAAAAGTAATGCCGAATTTAATACGTAGAATTCTACAGAATTTAAATGAATTATACGGAATATTTAGTATAATTCCGTATTACGTACGGAATTTGCATACCGGAGTATAATGACTAGACTCGTTTCAATTCGTAACTCGTGAATTAAAACCAGAAGAGTACTCAAATCATATGATTGACTTATATTTATTCGAATTATTCGAATTATTCGAATTACTCGAGTCATAAAATTAATTTATCGAAAAATGTTAATTAAATTAAATCTATTCAATTCGCGGGTAACTCGCAAGTTAAAATCCCATGATTCGAATCAACAGCAGAGACCGTTAATGTTACACATATATTAAAACTGGTGAGGGATTATATCCATCACAATTGAAACCAATATAAATAATTTAATTTGTGATTGATCACAAGAGAGAGGGATTCACTCTGGATCGGGCACTGTCTCTGCTGTTATTCGA